TTCCCTAACTTTACCTATAACATTCTACAAGAGAAAAAATATTTCTATCATAGTGGGCCAGAGGGCTGGCACTCAAAGATATTAGGTAAAAGCAGGTAATCCTACTCTGTACAAATTATACTAATCGATTATCAAGATATTACATGGAATTACTTCTGCCTCCCATTGGAATTATGTTTGTAGGAGTTCAGTTCCTTGACTGTGAACCCCTGGAAGGAGGGAATCATTTTTACATCTTTCACACTCTACCTAGCAGAATGCTGTGGCTAAAATAGGTACTTTATATAGTTATTTGACTTCTGGAAAATTTTCCTAAAGCAATTATCAGAGTTTGCATGAATATTTTTGTATAAGAATGGTCTTTGCAATATTATTTATAAAAGGCAAAATATTAGAAACCACTTAACTAGGCAAGAACCAAAAGTCAATTAAATGCACCATGGCAAACAGATCACAAGGAAAATGTAGCCACTAAGCCTAATTGTTAGATTTAAAAAGCATCTAAGAAACAATAAGTAGAGGGAGTGACGTCATGGAAATGGCAGTTCAGGAAGCTCCAAGAGTTGATCCCTCCACTGAAGCAACCATTAAGCTGGCAAAAAAATGGCAGAATCTTTTTTTTTTTTAACTCTGGAAGCTAGTCAAACACTTAAAGCAACTAGGTGAGTGCTTACTGCCAAATTTCAGTAGGAAAGTGTTGAGATATTTTTGCTTATTGCCCCCTGCCATATTACACGTTCCTCTCAAATGCACATGGAACATTCTCCAGTACAGACCATATATTAGGCCACAAAACAAGTCTTAATAAATTTTAAAACACTGAAATCCCACAAAGTATCATCTCTGGCCACAATGGAGTAAAGTTAGAAAGAAATAACAGGAGGAAAACTGAAAGATTCACACATATGTGCAAATAAAACAACAGAGTCTTAAATAACCAGTGGATCAAAGAGGAAATCACAAAGGAAATTAGAAAGTACTTTCAGATGAATGTAATCAAAAACAAAACATAAAATTTATGTTTTAATAAATATATAGATGCAGCAAAAGCAGTGCTCAGAGGGAAATTTGTCTGTAAACACGTATACTATTTTAAAAAAAGATCTCAAATCAATAATCTAACTTTACACCTTAAAGAACTAGAAAAAGAACAAACTAAACTCAAAACTAGCAGAAGGAAAAAAAAAAGACTAGAATAGAAAAACAACAGAATCAACAAAACTAGAAGTTGGCTCTTTAAAAAGATCAACAAAATTTATAAATCTTTACCTAGACTGACTAAAAAGAGAGGACGCAAACAACTAAAATCAGAAATGAAAGCAAGAGCACTGCTGCTGACTCTACAGCAATACAAAAGGATAATGAAAGTACGATGAACAATTATATGCCAACATGTTAGACAATCTACATGAAACACACAAATTTCCAAACACATACTAATTACCCAGAAACACAAAAATCACAAAACCTGACTTAACAAGAAACAGAAAATTTGAACAGACCTATAAGAAGTAAAAAGATTGACTCAGTAATCAAAGACCTCCTAATAAAGAAAAGTCCAGGACCAGATGGCTTCACTGGTGAATTCTACCAAACATTTAAAGAAGAATTAAGTACTATGCACAATAGCCAACAGGTGAAAACAACCCAAATGTCTGTAGAGGGATAAATGGATGAACAAATTATGGTATATCCATACATGGAATATTATGCAGCCATAAAAAGGAATGAGGTACATATGTGTGCTACAACATGGATGAACCTTGAAAACATCATGCTATGTGAAAGAAGCTGGAGACACAAACAGTCACGTATTGTATGATTCCATTTGTACGAAATACTTAGAATAAGTAAATCCATGGAGGTAGAAAGCAGATTGTTGGCTGCAGGGGTGAAGGGGAAATGGGGAGTAACTGCTTAATGAGTATTTTGGGGTGACCATAATGTTTTGGAACTAGATAGAGGTGGCGGTTGTACAACATTCTGAATGTACTAAATGCCACTGATTTGTTCACTTTAAAATGGTTAATTTTGTTTCGTGAGTTTTACTTCAATTAACAAAGAACTGATGAAATACAATCCTATTTTTAGTTTTTAAAACATAAGGAGACAATCATAAATGTATTAACTCTGCAGTGTAGAGCTAGGAGTGTGGTTTTCTTCTTTTCGCTAAATTACTTTTTGCAAAACTTCTCTTATGAACATGCGTTATTCTTCAATATTTTAAGAAACAGTGTGCTGCCCTAAATTGCATGTTCAGTCAAAGGAAGGACAAATTTCTGGCGAGGACTGACCCGGTATAAACACACATAAAAATATAGGCCTTTTAGTTCTAAAAGCTGTTATATTCAAATCTTAACAGTGGCCCTGAGCTATGCTCTCCTTCTGTTATTATTTACAAGAGCTAGCAGATATGGACAAAAAGGAGGCAAGATCTGAGGCATGAGTGGACTCCCCCTGTTTAATAAGTGTGATCAAACATGATCAACCATTCTGGCCAAGGATGCTGTGTAATGGAGAGGAAGAGTGCCAATGTAAACGGTAGAAATTGTAAGGGTGTAGTAATAAAGCTGCTCTCATTTACTGCACGTATGTTGGAAATGAAGACGTAAGCTAGGGAAGAGGCTGTGGCTGGACAGGGTGGAGGGAGAGTCATTCTTAAAGAGATTACACAAGTGACAGCAAGCAGCTGCTTTGCTTCTCTTGGGAACGTGGAGTGCTACTTAAATAGTACCCAAACGCTTTTGCTTCTATATTAGGAAAGACTTAATTCCAAGAGTAGTGGCTTCTTAAATGCAAGCCCAAGGGAGACTTTCACTCTCTCCTTTAAGAACAGTTCAAATGACTGTGAAACCTACACAGGGGGCTTGGAAAAGATTCTTTCAAAGAGAGATGATTCCTGTAACCTTTGATCTAATTAATTCTGTTTGAAAAGTCTGAATAATTTATGAGAGGTGAACGTAGGAATCATGACACTGGGAGCCAAAACATCCCTTCCAAATCCCAGTCCAGACCCTCCTGCCAAAGACACTGGCGCTGGATCACATTCTGTAACAGACCCACAGCTGCACGCTAGTAGATAACATCAGCCAGGCACGAGATCTGTTGTGAATTTGTCCAAATTCGTGTGCGCTCAAGCTACAGTTTCAACCCAAGGGCGAAGACACGCACGTGGGTCTGGAAAAGGAATAATCAGCTCCAGGAGGCCAAGCGGCAACCCTCAGAAGTGGGGCAAAATGGTTGCAGAGTTTCCATCACTTGGCGCCACGGAGGTGCGGTGCGTGCCACATGCCATGGTGGTTAAATCCCGGCCACTGGAATGTCCCTCTGCAGGCCCGCTCCAGATAAGAAGGAAAGAATGTAGTTAAGAATTTTATCATTCAAAATACCTGTCCCCAGGGACCTGCCTGCCAGGACGCACATTCTGGCTGCTGACAGGTCTGCATGGAGGCTGGCTTGGTCTCAGAGTCACAGATTCTATCGTTTAATCGATCTTCGCCAAACTGACACCAGACCTGGCGGTGCTTATGCCCTTTTCCGCAGGTGACCAAGCACTGTAATAAAAGGTACAGCCAGTCAGGGTCGTTTCTGAACAATGCACTGTGGTTCCCGGGGATTTAGTCATTGAGTAACAGGACCAGGTGTGCTCTTTTCCCACAGCAATTCCTCTCAGTCGTTGCAACTTGTAAATACATCAAGGTTCATGCTTTTCACGCATTCCCTCCTTCGTTCATTCATTCTATATTTATCCAGGCTCTGGGACAGTTTCAAGCACAGAATAAAGTTAACACAGCATCATGCTCTGAAATCTTGAAAAACAGCATTCACGGTTTGGTAGCGTAAGAGTTGAGGGTGGGGAATTTATGAGTCAGACTAACCTAGTTTTTAATCCTAACACTGTTTTTCAATCAGCTGTGGATACTAAGTGACCTCCCTGTATTTCATTTTTCTCATCTGTACAATGGGGAATACGATAACGCCTACTGCCAGGAATTGTGAAAACTAAATAAGAAAAATCCAAGTGAAGTACTTAGCACATGCTCATTCAATGAGTCTTAAATATAATCTAAATCCATCAATAAATAAAATCATCACGGTTGTCTACTTTCGTTGTAGAAAACTTGAGAAATACAGAAAGACATAAAAGAGAAAACTATAATGATCCCCAAATCTCACTACCTACCTAGGGATTAATTATTACTAAAATTTTGCTGTTTTCTTCCCAGTCTTTTTAGCTATGGAATGTTGGATCATACTGAATATATACTTTGATATCTCCCACTTCCATTTCATTAAGTGTTTTTGCAAAGGTCTGTTACTTAATTTGAGATGATACTTTAGCGAGTATTAGCTATCTAAGTAGAACTTAAACCCAATACCTTCTTTCATCTTTTTTTTTTTTTTTTTAACTAAATACTAGAATTGAAGCTAAGGCCAGGTAGTTAACATAGAACATAAGAACTAGGTTTGTTGTTAATTTGTCCAGGAGTCAGACACTGTTAATCACATGTACTGTTACTTGTCTGCCATTTCAGAGGCGTTAATAGTATTCTTTTACGATTCAGATTTTATTTAATGTTGAAAGTAAACAGTTAATATTGCACTTGCACGGATGAGATAAGGGAATGGATGCAGAAGCTGTAGTAGGGAAATACCTCTTTCCCCACATTCCTGGCTTGGCCCATAAAATTTAAGGCAATTTCTGTTCCCCTGCCACTTGCTCCCCTGAAGAAAGGTGGAGGGAGACACTTGCTCAGCGAGAATCTCACCAGGAAATACTGACTCTGTCTATAAAAGCGAGTTGCTGTCCTCGGGCCACCTATGCTACACAATGGAGGGTTAGCCTTATGCTTCATCGGGTAAGGGACAAGCAAAGCATACATCTGGAATACTCAGCCTGCTCCTTTCTCTTTTTCCCAAGTTTTCCACTAGCAACTAGATGTGTAATCAAATAGGTCACTCACTGGGGTCTAATTCTCTTATTTCAAAGATAAGAAATCAGGGAACCTTATTTTTGACTTCAGATCGAAGCCAATGCAGCTTTATAATTAATAAAGAAAGCCCTGATTTCCTTTATAGCAACTTAGCCAGGGCTCAAGGGGGAGGGAAGGTGAGGAGCTGGAGCTTCAAAAATCACCAACAGGGCTTCCCGGGTGGCGCAGTGGTTGAGAGTCCGCCTGCCGATGCAGGGGACGTGGGTTCGCGCCCCGGTCCGGGAGGATCCCACATGCCGTGGAGCGGCTGGGCCCATGAGCCATGGCCGCTGAGCCTGCGCGTGCAGAGCCTGTGCTCCGCAGCGGGAGAGGCCACAACAGTGAGAGGCCCATGTACCGCAAAAAAAAAAAAAAAAAAAAAAAAAAATCACCAACAGGGCTTCCCTGGTGGCGCTAGTGGTTGAGAGTCCGCCTGCTGATGCAGGGGACTCAGGTTCGTGCCCCAGTGAGGGAAGATCCCACATGCCGCAGAGCGGCTGGGCCCGTGAGCCATGTCCGCTGAGCCTGTGCGTCCGGAGCCTGTGCTCCGCAACGGGAGAGGCCACAACAGTGAGAGATCCGCGTACCACAAAAAAAAAAAAAAAAAAAAGGAAAAAAATCACCAATAGAAGCTACTACGGCAGGTGATCCAGATAAACCCACTGTGACTCTGGGGTCGCCAGTGGACCAGTCATGTACAGTGAGACAGGCATGGGGCAGGTGGGAGACTGGAGTTGTTTCCTCAAGAGGAGGTGGGAGCAAGGTTCAGCTAGTCTAGCCTTTAACTGACCTGGGGGAGACTCAGAATTGAGTATCGGAGATGAGCTGGGGGAAATAACAGCCTTCCCATCTCACCTCTGACCAGTCTCCTGATTTCCACTGTGGACAAGGGAACTCATTGCACTTCTGAATGGTGACTTTCTCGTGATGCGTGCATTTGCTATCATCAAGTACATCATTACGGGTGTTGACACAAATAGCCCTTCTCCTCTGGCTTCCACCATCACAGCTTTTAGAACACTGAAAGGACAAAAAAATGAAATAAAATTATTGCTGAGTTTCTCATCAAGCATGCTCAAGATACTGGCTAGGCTGGCTTGTCTCTTCCAGTCCTTAAGAAACAACCAACCAACAAAGCCTGGTCAGTTCTAGTTGTTATTTTAGGGGTATCTGTTCATGTTATCAACTTATTTACCAGGTTTATACTGAAGTCAATATTAGCAAACTGGCAAAGGAAAACAAAATTGGACATAGCTTGTGGGATATGAAAAATTGTTCTGTTGAGTTGTTCCACCACTCCCAATTTTCCACACGCCATGCCTACATCAGACATTACAAGTCAATCATGGTACTCTTCTGCAGTTTTAACGGGGGCAGCCATTATAAATCAATCATGGTACTCTAAATGGGATTTCTCAATGCAGCTCTGCAAGGAGCCATCATCAGCTAATCAGACTTACTCCAAGAAGACGACTCTCTGCGTGAGAACCAACTTACTTCAGTCCAAGCAGAATAGCGCCAGCCACCAGTGTTACATTCTCCTGAGCATTTTTCCCGGTTGCTTGGTTTGGGGTGACTGCTGCAAAAACTGTCATCAACCTTCTCGGTCTTCCCATCTAGCCTGCTGTATCTGGCACAGTAGATGTCTAATGTGCGGTAACCCAAGCCACACTGGGCACTACATTCACTCCTGCTGGCCACGTGCCACCTATGCATAAACAATGGGGAGAAACCAACATTTCTATTAAATATATATCTTATCGAGACTCGACTGGTGGAAGAGTTGAGCTCTGTTTTCTTCCTTAACTCAAATACCATGAAACCCAAAGCCACAGTCAGTTACTGAAATCCAATTTAAAACCAGCATTTCCATGTATTTTTCATGGCTGCCAATGTACACGTTAAGTCACAGAGTGATAGTCAGTGGTTCTATGTTTGTGAAGATTCTCCCCTGATACAGTCAATCTGAAATTCAAGCAACCAAAAAGAAAAAAAAAAAAAAAACACTGGAATTCAGCAGAGCAAAAAAAGCAATTTTATATTTAAAAGGTTCATGCAACCCAGCCTTCCATTTGTCAAGGAGGCTGCTTTAACAGGGAATCACTGTTGGAAACAATCCCTAGGAAATCTCCTTTATGTGGGCCTGTGCTGGAAAATGCTCGGTGAACATCCGTGAATTAATAAAGGAATGGATAATTTGGACTATAATTGTGAATTTCAAGTATGCTAAACTGTGTACATTATTATCTGTGAATAAAGACTATAAGTTGCTTGAAGCCATAGACCGTAGTCTATATAACTCAATTACAATTTTTTTTTTTTTTGGCTGTTTAGTGTCTTAGTTGCGGCACATGGGACCTTTGCTGTGGCACACAGGATCTTTCGTTGTGGCACATGGGCTTCAGAGTGGGCAGGCTCAGTAGTTGTGGCACGTGGGCTTAGTTGCCCGGCGGCATGTGGGATCTTAGTTCTCCGACCAGGGATCGAACCCAAGTCCCCTGCATCAGAAGGCGGATTCTTAACCACTGGACCACCAGGGAAGTCCCACAACTTTTTTTTAAAGACTAATTTTTTTTAGAGCAGTTTTAGGTCCATGACAAAACCGAGAGGAAGGCACAGAGATTTCCCACATACCCCTGCCCTCACATGCAGAGCCTCCCCATCATCAGCACTCTCCACCAGAGTGGGACATCTGTTACAACTGATGAACCTACGTTGTCACATCATTATCAACTAAAGTCTATACTTTACATTAGGATTCACTCTTGATGTTATATATTCTACGGGTTTAGACATATGCTTAGTGAATATATATCCACCATTACAGTATCACACAGACGTAAAAATCCTCTGTGCTCCACCTAGTCATCCCTCCCGGTCCCACGATTATTCACTTTTAAAAGTAGATTTGAATCTAACAAATTTTTGTCAACTTTATATCCCTAGTACCTATAAGAATTTTTTGGCACACAGTAGGTGCTCAGTACGTACTGATAAATCAAGTGGTTCTTTTAATGCTCCAGCAACGGAGCTAGAGCTTAAAAAAGAAAAAATAAAATGCTTAAAATGAATAGGACAGTCTAAAGAATGAGCTTGAAACGTGTTTCATTGATCAAACTTAGCAAATCCCAAAAGGATGATTTCTTTATAATCTTCATTCGAATTTGCTCTTGATCGTTAATTCTCTCCGGCTCGTAAACTCCATGGTTTGCCAAATGCCAGTGTCCTAAGAGTTCTCCCTTCTACACTCAGGAAGAGAAGAGCACTGGACACAAGCTTATCTTGGAATTTCTCACAAATGCTCAAAAGTAGGTCAGAGTTGACCCACTCCTACATTTGGCATGTAAAGTGGGCTACTGAGATTTTCCATGAGAGTGACATAGTATTTGGAGGATTTATTTCTAACCGGAACATGTTACATGGGGATTGTAAAACAGTGCTTTATCTCATCCTGTCAAAGTTTAATCTGGGCAAACTCTCACTTCCCTAAGGAAGTGAGGCAAAAAATGTGGACCAATTCAACAGAGGCATCTGGAACTTTCATCCGCCCTTTGATTCTCAGCTACCTTCTCTTTGCCTTCATCATCATTTCCTCGTGGAAGGGTTATTTTCCATCCTGGATAAGGGAGCCAGGAATCCTGGCCCCTACAAGAAAGCGCACCAGCAGCTTGGGCTGGAAAAGTGTACCAGAGTTTTCCTGATATTCACACAATCCCCAGAACCCAGGCAGAGAACGTGGAGTAGTCTGTGAAAAGGTCACAGCACTGCTTTAGGAAAGTTCTCAAAATGCTATCACTTAACTTCACTTATTATCACACTGGAAAGTCATCTCACCTTCAGTGTTCTGAATTCATTCATTCATGTCATGTAACATTTGTAATGTGTTACTATATTGCAGAAAAGCAAAGTTTGTTAATAAGTGGAAACAGAAAAGAATGTATGTCTCCAGCGGGTGTGCAGAGCATTGAGGCATTAAGTAATTTGGGGAACTACTGATTTAAGCAAGTTCCTCTATTGCAGAACTTCTCAGCACCTTCAGAATGTTAATCTGAATTACAAATCTTCACATAGTGGAGAAGACAGTCAGTAATACTTCTCATACATCCTGGTTTGCCATGGATCATCCTGTTCAACTAGCATTCCATAAAAATGTTTTGGGAAAAACTGTTGTAGAGTTTGAGCAGCCAGTCTTCATCTTCTCTCCAGGCTTTCAGTTTTGCACAAAGATACTTGGCAATTATTAGTATAAATCATAAAAACAGCCACTGTCAAGTTGACAGAGAGAAGACAGACAGTAATGCCTTCTTTGGGCTCAGTTTCTGCTTTTGCCTGTTTTTCAGTAAACAACTTTATTCTTCCAAAAATCTGTAAATGCCAGTAAGATATGAGCTTGAATGCTGACATATAAACACAATCTTCTAGGGACTTCCCTGGGGGTCCAGGGGTTAGGACTCTGTGCTCGCACTGCCGGGGCCAGGGTTCAATCCCTGCTTGGGGAACTAAGATCCCACAAGCTGTGCAGCGCAATCAGTCAATCAATAAGATCTTCTACTTAATTTCAGACATGAGCATGCACCTGTCTAGTTATGAGGCTTTAAAAACTAATCCTAAACTTCCCCTTTGATTCTTTTCATTTCTAAATTCTCCCCCACAAGGTCTGTCACTTCTACCACAGACACGTCTACCAAAAGGCATGGCGAAAATTCCTTCACTTTCTTTTCTTTAATCAGCCAGAGGTGCTATCATCACCCAAGCCGGTTCCCTGAGCTACTGTCCTCCTTTGGTATCAGCAGAGTTTCAGGTGTTTTTTTTTTTTCTTTCTTTTTTTACGTTAAGTATAAAAAAAAAGAGGTGGCTTTCTCCAAATGGGGAATTTAGAATAGTACCTTTGATATACCTACCATATGAAATGCAAAGACTTTAAGCCTGACTTTATTTACCTAGTTATTGTGAAATGAGTTTTAATAAAAATCAGAATCAGAAAGTGCAAATACAAGCTCAACACTTATTAGCTAAGTGACTCCAGGCAGGACACTTAACCTCACAAAGGCTCTCAGCTTCCTTATCTGTGAAATGGGGGCAAGTAGGATCCATTTCATAGGGCTACTAGGAGGATTAAATGAGACAAGGCATGTGTAGCATTTTAACACACATGACAGGTAGTCACAACAAGTAGCTGCTGCTATTATTATTATTATTACCCTTGGTATTTTATTCTCTAACCAAGTTCTGAGTAGCATGTTAACTCCACGTAAACCATTAATACAAAGTGAAAAGAAATCCAGTTGATATCTTCATAATTCTACATAAAAGTATCATGGATCCAAGGCTACCTTTCAATGCATTCACTTTGTGCAATTTGCTTAATTTTTGTTCTCCGTCAGAAAGCTTCCAATGCAGGAGAAACTCTGGAGAACATCCAATTCGCCAGCATCATCACCAACTAATGGCAGCTTATTTTAGAATCTGATTGAAGTGAAAAATATTAGTTTCTCGAAGAAACAGTTCAAACATGACCTCCACCTCAACTTGGTGCTCCTTGCATAAACTTTAAACAGGGTTCTTCAAAAATCATTTTTTTTTAGGGTCATGTTCTGTTACTTGCGGTTCTTTGTACAAACCCGCCTTCCTTGGGATTGTAAGAGCATGCTCAGTGCTGCAGGCAGGTGCTCCACAATATCTGCACTGATCCTTTGAGACTCTACCGGCCCCAGCTGGATTCAGTCAGTGGGGAAGTGAAATCTAAGGGAATGCAAGTAGGGTGGGCAACAGACATGGAGCAGAAAACTCCTCAGAGTTATTCCTTTTCACCAAGGGAAATGGAAAAGCTTGATAATTCTCTATTCACTCGCCATTTCTTGCCTCAGATTTCAGACTTTTCTTAAATATAGAACTGTTTGCATATCTAGATATCTCTATATAAATTTTCTTCTAGTCCCCTCCATAACTCTACATTAGTGCGTTGCAGCTTTCACATATGTAAAAGTTCTCATACTGGGTGATAAACACTGTGGGTGGATACAGAGCATTATGGGTACCTTGATGGATGAGGTTACCTCCTTTCTGTTGCCTTTCCAAACAAACTTTTGCATTTGACGTAACTCCCTCATAATAATACCTATGCAGCGAGTTGTGAGGGTCAAATGAGAACTTTTCTTGCCAAGTGCCATACTCTAGTAGTTGTTTCTGATTCTCAGGAGAACAAGAAATCTGCAGGTATATGTCTCAGATAATCAGTTTCAGAGGGATGGAAAACTGGCTAAAGCTTATTTCACTGAAACACAAGGAAGGGGGTCTAAAGACTAACAACCACACCTGCGTCTCACATGCAGAGACCTCCTACAAAACCCTCACAACTCAGTACTAAGGACCATGAGGAAACACTGGCCTCACCTCAGGTCACACTCTGTGCCGCAGGGTTCAGTAATGGGTGCTGGCTGGGGCAGCCGATCACATCTTTGATCAGAAACTGTAAGCTGATCAGATTCCCTGGTACAAACAGGTTTTCGTTTCCGCTCCCCTAAGCAAGGAGGAAAAAAATTATTCAGACAAAGTAGACTATTCCATAAACTATTTAGACCAGGGACTGGCAAACATTTTCTGTAAAGGGTTAGATATTCAATATTTTTGGTTCTGTGGGCCACGTGACCTCTGTCACAACTACTAAACTCTTGTTATAGGGCAAAAGCAGCTGCTTACGAATGTAAAAAATTGGTGTGGCCGTGTTTCAATAAAACTTTATTTATAAAAGCAGGAAGTGGGCTGGATTCAGCCCACTGGCTGTAGTTTGACAACTCATACTGTAGACAAAAGGAAACGAGATCAATCACATAATACGACTACTAAATCTACGTCTCTGGAAAATCAGCTTGGCAGAGCTGATTTTGCTTGGCTTCACACATAATGAGGAAACCTAGCATATCCTGAATCCCTTAAACAGCTCAACTTGCCAGCCCAAAGTGACCAGACAGATGCAGAGAAAGATTAGAAGATGCATGCAGATAGAAAGGTTTATACATTGCATGTATTCGGCTGCTTCCAAAAAAATAAACAACACCTTGAATCCCCCAAACTCAACCTAAAAGTAGATACCTTGGCAGGGTTTGCTGCATGCTTGCCAGGGTCCATGACTGTTCCAGTAAAACTGCTGGGGTTTGTCTTCAATTGGAATATTGAAAGAATAGCGCACATCAGGGTTGAATAACTTTCCCACGGACAACACCTGGGATGTGCAGACAAAATGGAGAGGATGTGTATGGGCCTGGTGATTCTTGGAGTTAGAAAATGGGCATGGGCTCATGGCCAAGTTTTTACCTGAAGCAAAAGTTCTTGTTCAATGCGATCTGTGGAGTTGATTCTTTCCACTACATTGTCGGACCCGCTGTACTCTATCACGGCATTCCCAACCCGGATTTCCCTTTTGGACATTGTGACAACAAAGTCTCCATTTAGCAAGAATTCACCTTTACTGCTTGATAAAGCTAAAGATGAGAAAAGAGAATTCATTGATTTGCTGCCACTTGAAATAATACTTTGATAGGCAGAGAGCCAGAGTGTGAAGAACGTAGACTTTTCAGCCAGACACGCACAGGCTCAAATCCGAACTTTGCCACTTGGCAACTATGTGGCCTTGGGACGTCACTTTCCTCCTCTCGGTCTTGATCTCTTTATCTCTTAAGTGGAGATAAAACACCTCCCCTTCATGGTGCCCTTGAAAATTAGAAATATAATACAAGCGTGCTAGTTAGCCTGGGGTTTGCGATACAAGCCCCGCAAACACAGGATTACAGATGGAAGCAATGAGCTGTGGTTACCAGAGGAGAAGGGGCGGGGCGGGGGGCAAAAAGGGTAAAGGAGATCAACTGGATGGTGATGGATGGAGACTAAATTTTTCATGGTGAGCAAGCTGTAGTATATACAGAAGCAGAAATATAATGCTGTACATGTGAAACTTATATAATGTTATAAACCAACATTACCCCAATTTAAAAGAAGAAAAAAATTTTTATGATTTAAAAATACATATTAATAAAATGAACACTTACAAAATTGGTTCCCACACAAATAACCCTTTCTACTTCATATGAGAATTAGCTGAACCTACTGAATCTTTGTTAGTTTTCTCTGTTTAGACAGATGTTGAAATGTAGAAATCCATAGCCAATATGATGCTCAAACATCACTTCCTTGGTGAGGCCCACTGAGGTAGCCAGCCTCCAATATGGCCCCAACAATCCCTGCCTTTTGATAGTCACACCTGTGTTGTTCCCTACCACACTGAGTAGCACTGATGTAATAACAGTAGCACTGGTGTCACCACTAGGATACTGTGACTTCCAAGGCCAGGTCAAAGGCATTAGGGCTCCACCTTGCTCTTCCTTGAATCTCTGGCTTTGGGAGAGAAGTCAGCTGCCATGTTGTGAGGATACTCAAGCAGCCTCATGGAGAGGTGTCTTGCAAAGAGCAGTGAGGAACCAAAGCCTACTGCCAATAGCATCTACGTGAGGCATCCGGTAAGTGGATCTGCTAGCCCCAGTCAAGCTTTCGGACAGGATCACAGCCCTAACTGAAGTCTTCACAGCCACTTCAGGAGAGACCTCAAGCCTGAAACACCCAGCTATGCTGCTCCCAGATTCCTGACACACAGAAACTGGGATATTGTATATACTTGTTGTTGTAAGCCACTAGATCTTGAGATAATTTGTTACATGGTAAAACCTACCTGGATCATTGTTTTTAAAACTGCAAGCCCCTCCCATTGGCAGCACAGATTCCATACTTCCTATCCCATTTCCCACCTTAATTTTTCTCCATATCACTTTGTTTATGCTCTCTCTCCCCAAACAGGAATGTAAGCAAGGATTTTTTGGACTGTTTTATTCACAGCTATATCTCAGCTTCTGAGAGAACACATGGTAGATGCTCAAAAAATAGTTTTTGGGGGGAAGAATGAATGACTCCACTGTGAATCTTGCAAAAGATGCAACAATCAGTGAAGCTGAACAAGGAATGTTAGAGAACAGCTTGAGTCAAGTGCCAAAACACTGGCCAACTAAGAACATGACAGAGTTAGACCAGTTAGACATTTAAGAAAAGGAAATAAAAATGGACAAAGATGATGAGATGACAGCTGCTTCAGAAGGAATACTTTACTCATCCAAGTGTCAAGAGAGACTCTTGGGAAAGTGAATAAAAACCTCAGGAAGCTTTTTAAAAAATGACTCGTTTTCAGATTTTACTGTCAAATTCAAACTTTAAGCAAAGAATGTACCACTCTATCACATGACTTGACTGGAAAACTTAGGGAAAAATATTTATTAATTGCTTATTCTCCATTCTAAAAACGTGGGCATGATTAAAATCAAAATACAATTTTGTTGGATATAAGAAAAAATAATATTTATTTTCATACTTTTTGATTAATTTCTCAAGATAAAATCCCAATCATATCATGATCAAATCAAATCATATCCCAATCATATCTTCCCCCTAGTATTTACTATGAAAGTTTGGTTTTATTTTAAGTACCTTTTTTTTTTTTTTTTCCAGTACTACTGCTCTTTGAATAATGAATTCTCCCATGTTTTGAGCTTGACATGTAGCAGGTACTCAAGAAAGCAGAGCTATTAAACATTTGAGCCCTAAACAAAATACTAGAAAGAGGCCAGTTACCTTCTGTAAGTTGTGCACGATTAGCAAATCTTGACAGCGAGGGATCCCTTGAAATGCACAGGCCATGTATTTAGGTGAATAAAAGGAATGTGGAAATTTGACCCAGGGTTGGCAAACAGGTGTCCTCCCAGACACAAATGTCAATCATTTGGTACTAGCCGTTCAAGAAACTACGCAGAACAGGATTCCCTGACAGCATCGTGTCTCAGCATCATTGATGACATCTGTCTTGGCTGTGGGATGCGGGGGGAGCCAAGATATCTTAGGCGTCTGCCCGGTCCTAACCTGCCCTTCACTGAGGCAGGTGACGCACTGTCTTTCACCAGAAGCAGCCCAGAAGCAATGCATACGGAGAAGAGGTTGAGAGGATTTAGGGGAAGCAGATGTCATACCCTTATGTGGAAACTAATGAAGGCTTCAGTGAAGCTCTGAATATTCCCCGTGGCTCAGTAGCACTAGCGTCCCTGTTTTCGAGGACATGGGAACCTCACAGAGTTCACCCAGTTGGGCACTATACTGATGCAAGGACTGCTCTTTGTAGGGTCAGGAATTAATTGCATCAAATTTGGTCCCTAAACCTGCGCATCATCTACCAGAATTCCTACCTCATAAGCCCCATCTCGGCCCTGAGGTAAAAGTAAGATGCCTTCATTTGAAATGGTTGGGAAGAAAGTGGTGACACAGGGAAAAAAAAGCTTTTAAAAAGATAATCTTTTGAAATAGGCAATCCAGGATCTCGGCTGCTTCTTCTGGATCCAAAATCCTTTGATTGTCCCTTTACTACCAACAGAACGTAGCTCAAACTCCTTGGCATCACCTTCCTGTATCTTTACAAATCTTATCATGACCTATTCTTCCAACCTCACCATTCACTCCCACCGATAAGCCTCAACCCCAGTCATGTTCATCCCCAGGTCAGCTACACATTTTTCTCTATGGAGGTAGTAAAGTGAAGGGGTTAAGGGTACTGGGTCTGAGGTCAGACCAATAAGGATTTTAATTCTTTTCCCATTTTCTGTTCATGTGACCTTGGGTAAGTTATTCAACCTCTCTAAGCCTCAGTTTCGTCCTCTGTATAACGGATTTCTTATAGAATTGTTACAAACATCAACCAGGATAGTGCACATAGGATTTGGTAGCTGGCAGGTCAAAATGCCTTCAAATGCACTGTCTCGCCATCACACTTTTATACTTGCTTAATTCATGGATGAGAAAAGCATGACTTAAACATTATTAAAATATTTTCTGAGGCCAGGCGACTTCTAATCGTGGACGTGTGTCTCCGGAGCCTGTTAACCACTAAAGTTTTCTAAGAAGAGGGTCAACACATATCCATGAAAAGAGTGAATGAATTCAGGCGTTCTTTATCTTATGTACAAATTGAAAGCAAATATGTTTAGCTACAGATTTTTAAAAATTTAAGATATTTGTTCTGCTAGACTGCATGAGCCTCTTTAAGTAAAGCCGACATTTAAAAATGCACTTTTCTAAGCCTAAGAAAGATCCCAGTCCATAGTAGGTGCTCAGTCAACGATGTCGAAAGAACAAGTGATTGATGGAACCTGACATTCGTGACAAGGAGAACAGAGAGCTTCCAGCCAAATAACTGTTTCCCCGTCAGTGTAAACCTCTGACAACCTCATCTCCCCTGCGGCTCCTGTAGCGTGAGACCCACCAGCCATGCAAGATGTAGGAGTTTCAGTGGGTCACTGGTTGGAGACGAGGTTGTTTCTGTAGCACCTCAGGCCTCCTGAGGCCGCCTCCTAACGTGGGTCACTTACATGGCGGTGGCAGGATGTGCTGCCAGAAAAATCACTCAGTTCTTTCAAGTGAAGTCGCATGCTAGCTACTCAGCTGATGTTTCACTAAAAGGGGGGAAATGAGATGTCACAAGGCCAGTTCTGTAAATTAAGCGATAATCCAGTTCTGGCTGTATTCAAAGAGCAATCATCTATCCTATGCTAATTCTGGGGCTCCTTTCCAATGTCTCCAGGCTTCCTCTCATGCTTATGCTGACCTGGGGCCATTTCACCCTTCACTGCATGCTCCTTATCCCATTAGATGGTGAGTAGGAAAGGAGATAGGAGTCATCAGGTGAAATGGAGTTCCTGCTTTATCTTGAACTGAATCGATTCCTGCCTTCCCACTGCCACCATTAATCAAGGGCTAAGTGTCCTGGAGACAAATAAGCACCATGGGAATGGCTCCTTTTTCTCCTAAAGAAACATGAACATGGTAGCACTGGGTGCAACTTGGCTTTAACCCAACGGGAGGGAGGGGTCTATGCTGAAAGGATGACCTTTGACATGGAGACTTTCTGCTTCGGTACCTTGTGAAACAAATAGTTTCCTGAAAACAACAGTCTACTGCCCAACCTCCCACTAATGCGATTAGGGAGCTAATTTCCTGGGTTGGTTTCCCCCCCATTTCACCCATCAGAGCTGGGTTGCTACAAAGGCCCTCTCTCCTGGAAACTGCTCCTTCACCAACACATGCAAAAAGAGTATGGCTTGACTGACCTTGAAAAAAAAATGTGAGGTATACAGATGATCGCTTAGCAACCGAACAGCTAGGACTGGCCTCCAGCAAGACTCAACTGGGGGCTTTAAAATCTTCTTAGAGCATTCGCTGCGCCTTCCTTCAAGCCAAGAGTAAACATTTACACCCAGCAGATTTGATGACAACATCATATTCCTCCTAACTTGTTAAGAAACCACTGTAAGGTTCAAAGGCTCTAAGGTCTTGACCTTCATGCTCGGTGAACTGTGACTCGCTATCTTTGCGTGGACTTTTCATTTGTTTCCAGAGAGACGTTCTTTGGCCAACAGGTAACTTTCCCATAATATTCCATTAAAGAGCCATGACTACCTCAGACTGTCTGTCTCAGATGACAAATCTTCTTTAATTTTGCTTTCATTCTTTACAAGGAGATTAAGAAACCTCTAGCAAGAAATAAAAGGATATAAGAAGGCCCTCCCCAATTCAGGCACCTGACCTGGTTGATGAAGTTGAATTGAACTGAGGCCACTGCTTGGAAAGAGATTATTTTTCCAAGAAGGAGAATAACAGTGGAGAATCCTCCTTTTCGATGAGAAGAAAGGAACAGCTCAACATGGTGTTTGGCTCTCAGGAAATTAACCAATAAAGGAGGCTGCATGCAATGCTGCTGGATTTAATTAGAAAGTAGTAAGGCCACAGCAGTCACAGGTTCTAATTTATAATCCAGTCCATGAAGAAAAGTGCTTGACCCATTGTGCACAGTGGTTGAAGGAGAAATGTGGGATTCCCCCAAAATAATTTGGATAGGGTCCTCAAGAACTTTGTTAACTGTTTTAAAAGGTACCACTCGTTTGGATATTTAGGGTGAGGAAAAGCTGATGCAACCACTGAGAACTGATTCCAAGTAAGATTTTACAGTCTTTAGAGAAGGAATGATTCTGTATATTTCCATCATAACTCCATCCCCCCATTAGACACATGGCAGGTACTCAGTAAGTGAAGACAGCATGAGCAATAATTATTATTCAATAATTATTCAATAATTCAGCCATCATGTACTTAGTTCATATCATGTGAAGGCTTCGTATCAGGAGCTAAAATTATAAAGACACAGCTTCTGACCCTAAAACACTAGTGGTCACATGGATAAAGAAGGAACAAGTCTCAATTGAGTTGATGGTTACTGCATCCTTTTGGCTGCTCAGGTCAAAACCATGGAGTCATCCTTGACCCTTCTCTTTCTCTCATACACCATATTCAACCCATCCACTAATCATGATGGCTCTACCCTCAAAAGATATCCAGAATTTGACTGTGTACTGCCAATTCCACTGCTCCCACTTGCGGACAAGCCGCCAGCACATCTCTCTTTGACTACTGCAATAACTTGCTAACCCATCTTTCTGTTTCTACCCTGTACCCTACCCACCGACCCCATCTATTCTCAACATAACAGCCAGGGTACTCTTTTAAAAATATAAATATGATTATATCATGTTTTTCCTTGGTTCAAAACCTCTAGTAGCTACCCTCGTCTTTCAGAGTTCAAGTCCTTTCAATGATTATACGGCCCTATATGATCTAGTCCTGCTACCTGTTTAATCTCATCTGGGACTCTCCTCTGTGCTTACAAAGCTCCAGCCACACTGGCCTCCCTCTATCCTTGGAACAAACTAGACATATTCCTCTTTTAAGGATTTCACATCGGCTGTTCCCTCTGCCTGGAATGCTCTTCCCCTAGACAGCCATTGTCTCTCACTACAATTCAAGCATTTCAACTCCACTGTTCCCGCCCACTCTCAGTGTCCCAATTTCCTTTATGCTGATCTGTTTTCTAATTTTACTTATTACCTTCTAATACCTGTTTATTGTCTATCTCCTTCCACTAAAAAGTCCTAAGAAGAAAGAAATTTTTATTTATTTTTTTAATGTTTTTGTTCTGTTTTGTTCATTGCGCCTAGAACAGGGCCTGGCACATATTAAATAAGTGGCTGGCTGAATGAATGAAGAGACATTGCAGAAAATGCTACAACAGAGGCATGTGTAAATGTTATATTTAATTAGCACGCTTGGCTAAAGGGTCATTGCTTATCTATAAACGATTTCATGCAGACATTCCAAAATATAGATACGGGTTCTAATTCAATCCAACAAATTCTCATTTCTAACTCAGTATTTCCAGATGTTTGGACTAGGCCTCCGCAGAGGCGGTATTCAGATGCATGGAGTCCCTGCCTGGATATTATAAGAAAGTCCATTCATTTCTTTTAAAAACTGACTGCCCAGCAAGACTGCCCTGATTTCTTCTAGATCTGAGTGCAAGTCGTGCTGCTCTTCAGAGCTAAGAAGAATCTGGTTGTGCAAGGTGACTAGCTGAATCCCTTTCTGTCATTACCCCAGTCCCCATGCCCTTTTTTTAATGAAAAATAATTGGGTGAATTTCCTAATCACTTATGGAAGTTTACAGAATGATAATCTGAAGTGGGACTGGGTTGAGCAAACAGCTGAAAATGAACACAGGGTTGTTGGTGAGCTGTGGTTTGAAAATAGGAATAGATATGAATTAATCATGTGCCTGGCCATGGTGAGAGAAAGATGAAGAAACTATGAAGTAACAAGATGGGCCACGTTAGCAATGACATAAGAAACATATTGCCAGTATAGAACCTTTTGGAATGACCGGGAATAATGAAATATTGAATAAGTCCACCTGTGGTCTGCTATTGGTTAAGTCAACTAACACCTCTACTAAAACACTGGCATGTCAGTTACCCAAAGGAGAGATTTTTTTTTTTTTTAAGACTCAAAAAGAGCAATGATTTTAGGCTAAACTTACAAGGCAAATACTTTCAAAATTTAATTTGGGGATATATGTATATGTATAGCTGATTCACCCTGTTATACAGCAGAAACTAACACACCATTGTAAAGCAATTATACTCCAATAAAGATGTTAAAAAAAAAAAGAAAAAAAAATTTTGATGTGGGCCTGTTTTCTAAGATCCAGAGTCAATTCCTTGATATTGACTACTATAACTACACAACTCTTAAATCAGTAGGCTGAGGGTGTAATGTACAAGGGAGAAATAAAATCATGAGTTTCAAGATCAACTTCTTTCTTTTATGAAAATACATGACATCTGAAAACTGTCCACCTGCTATAGGGGAAAGGAAGTAGCCTCTGCCAACTGCTCCAGAGGAACCAGAATTCCTGCAAATGGCAGGGGGCACCCATCTCACCTAAGTAGTTATCATCCTCTGATTTCCCTGAGAAACTGTGCTGCCGCACATCGATATTGGTAGCACCAGCTGGAATTCGGACCACAGTATTGTAACCTGAAAAGAAGTGAGCAGAAATTGAGCATTCCACAGATTGGTTCATTTTCTCTAAGCATGGTGTAAAAGGTGGCAACAAAGGAATACAATATAATTCTCACTATTAGGTGCCTTATAGCCAGATGGGTAATGTACCTTATCAAGGCTGATTTTACACTTGACATGAATACTTTTACATATTACACGTGGTTAACAATGTTTACACTTTGACTATTTTCCTTCTCATGGTTCTTAGGAACAAATTCTTACCATAATGTACTGTATTAAATGTTCCTGCCACTGTTTTGCACGAAGAATTATCGCCACCACAAACCCCACATTTATCTCTCCGGGCTTTTGAGTTTAAAACATGATCGCATCCAGCTTGCTTTTAAAAAGAAAACAGTTGAAATACATGGTAAGTATTAGAGAGATTATAAAATGATAAGTAATGTGTTTCTTTGAATGAGGTGCATTCAAAATGACAAGAACTTTTAAGTCTCTTTAAACTTTCAAGGGTTGGGAACTGAAATTGTCTTTAGCCTTGCTGTGGGAAAATGTGGCCCTTGGACCAGCAGCCATGGGCATCCCCAATGATGTTGGGGATGCAGAGTCTTAGGCCCCACCCAGATGTACTGAGTCAGAGTAGATTTTCTGGCATGCTAATAAGACCCTTAAGTGCTTCGTCTACAGATTAAAGTTAGAGAAGCACTAGTCTACAAGTAAGTAAAGTAAATGAGAAAAATAGCTCAGGAAAGAAAAAAAAAAAAGAGAGGTTGAGGACTGTATCCCATTAAAGAGCTCACACCCCATCTTAAGGGAGCAGCTGCTGTCCACTGCAGGCTACTGCTGCCGTGCAGAAATAGGAGCCCAGTGTTGACGTATCCCAATTTTTCAAAAGGGACTGGAAAATCTGATTTTATGTGAAATCCCCTATGTTTAAATACAGGCAATGAATGGAGGACAAAAGCATGACTGCAGGCTGCCAGGTTGAGGCTCTAAGCGGCCTCTTTAATTTCTTCACATTTTAATGCAATGCAGCAGTGTAGACTGGGGTCTGAAAAGGACACCGCTATCACCAGAAGACCAGAAGGACAGAGTTTACATCCTCAACTGTTTTGTTCCTTCGAATAAACTAGTCTTTGAGGAGACACTCAATGTTTTGCTCTAGCGCATGGACTAAAAAGGAAGTCCGCGCTGTAGCTGTGGGTCAGGAGGCGGGTGAAGCTCATAGGGGCTCTTCAATCAAATCCTACCAATGAGGAGCTCCAATGTGCCCTGGACTCCATGCAAGGAACAGATACATCACCTCAGAGCCTGGCTGCGAGGGATGAGTTCTGACTGGTGAGAGCAGGGAAATGGTGCCAAGCCCTCAAGAAATCAGCACTCTGACACTTTACCATCTGCCAGAAGGGTCTCGATTTCCCTCCCAAGAATAATTTGCCTGTATGTCTTTGGTAGAAGTTATCCTGCTTCAAATCAGAAATCTGAGTGAGGCCGGCTCTTCCTCGTAAAATCTTTTTGGAGCACAGCTATTCAATCTACAAAACTCACTGTCAGGAAGCTTTTGGGTTTAACCTGATGCACTGTGGTTATCGTAAAGAAGTGTGTATGTGTGTCAATTATAATAAATCTTCACAGGGAGGTTTTTTTCAGACTCTCACAGAGAGTGTCAGAAAAATCTAGGGCAGTGGTTCTCAAACTTTGGCATGCATCAGAATCAGGTGGTGCTGGGAGGGATAAATTAGGAGTTTGGGACTAACAGATACACACTACTATATGGAAAAGAGATAACCAACAAGGACCTACTGTATAGCACAGGGAACTATACTCGATATTTTGTAATAACCTATAAGGGAAAATAATCTGAAAAAGAACACACACACACACACATATGTAACTGCATCACTTTGCTGTACACCTGGAACTAACACAACATTGTAAATCAACTATACTCCAATAAAAAATAAATCAAATCAAATAAAACATAAAGGAAAAAAAAGAATTAGGTGGTGCTGATGTTGGTCCGGGGGCCCCCACTTTGAGAACCACTGCCCTGGAGACGATGCACAGATACTAGCAGCTGCTATTCTATCAAGGAAGCCACACATCACAGCTTGGCAGCAAGACAACACAGTGAAGAAATCGCCATCTGGGACTCACCCGGCAAAGGCCTTGGACACAGATGTCATTGGTGTCCTGGCCACATGGAGTTCCATCTACCACTCTGTCACGGAGCTGATAGTAGGCCGTGTTCCCCGCCACCCTGCAGAACAGCTTGCAGCGGTCCTTCATCAAAACTAGACAGGAGAAACACCATATGCAACGTGACTTTTGTGCCTGGACCCCGTGCCAGCCTGCCAGCCATGAGCACGTCCCCAGATGCACTTACTTCCACTGTACTTTGGGACCCAGCGCACGTTCGGAAGCAGACCATTGATGTTGAAATGCTTTCCATCAAAGTGAGCACACTGTTCGTCTCGGAAGTCTCGCTTCTGCTTGGGACATGGCTCCGTGTTGCAGGACTTAAATTTCATTCTGCGCCCCACACAGTACTTCCCACCATTTTTTGGCCTAAGAAAAGGTAAAGAACACACGTGCTGTGTTATAATGTATTTCTCCCCATTACTTGATAATGTAAAGAACACGCATACTGTATTATGACGTATTTCTCTAATGTATTATAACGTCACGTACTGCAATGTGGCTTCCTGTCTTTGAGGGAAGCAAAAGTGAAGTGGACAGTGACAGTGGCCAGGGCAAGGGCTCTGGAATCTGGGTTTGCCCTCTGCCTTCAACATCATTAAGTGTATAACCTTGGGCCAGTCACTGAAGGTCCTTGAGCCTCAGCCCTTCCATTTGTAGAATGGGAAGGCACCACCTGGTAAGGCTGTTTTGAGGATAAAATGGGAGAGCATCTAACTTAAAGTGTGAAACATAAAACCTGGCGTCTATTAGGCCATTCTGTGTCCTCCTTCCCGTGAACACCCACAGTCCCTCAGTTTTAAAAACATAGAAGGTCAAAGGTACAAATGAGTACTTGGAATGCTCCTGTCTACCTTCCGCATCACGGTGCTTTCATGGGCAACCATCCTAAAACTTGCACCATATTCCATCTCCACTCATTTCTGTCCCTCTTTTCTCTTCCTCTCTCTCCCTGCATGACTGTTGTTTTTGCTTTTGTTTTACAAATAAGATGGAATAAGACGTGCTCATATTCTGACTAATTTAACAGGAGAGAGTGTAAAGGTTTCATTAACTTTTGTGTGACAAGAGTATGGAGGACGCCTTGCAAAGCATCACACTGCAAATTTAATCTCAGCGTGCAACCCCGTTCATGGATTTTCCAGATGTGACCCAGAGAGTATATTAAACAACCCGTCTCCCGGCAGTCAACAGCTTGCCAAGTGCATCACAGAAACGGGAAGATCACAGAATCAGAGGAAATTGGACTCACTCACAGCCCAGGGCTGGAGCAGCTCGGACACCAGAGCTACTCGGATACCACAGGTACCACAGTTGAGGGCACCTCTCAAACCGAAAGATTTCTACCTTTTCTCTTTAGAGTGAATCTTTCAGAGTAATTTGGACCATAAGAAGTGTTTGTTTGTTTGTTTGTTTGTTTTGGTTTTGGTTTGGTTTTTTGCTTTGTTTTGTTAAAACAGGGCTTGGGGAAGGGAAATATATCCACGACTATAAAATACAGAATGAGGGGCAGTCTAGCTGAGCCCGTGAGGCTCTACAGCTGGATCTGGCTTCTCATCTTGGCCCTACCCTCACTGTGTGACCTTAGACAGAGTTCTTAGCCTCCCAGAGCTTCAGTTTTCCTCTTCTCTACAATGAGTGCACACAGCAAATGCCTAAAATGTTAGTGACTATGATGTTCCATGTCAGCACAACCCAGCCTAATCCCATCCGATTCAGCAGTTTCTTTGTTTTAAGAACCAAATCTGAGCTATGATGTGTGCACCGTGAGGCAGGTCTCAATGGTACTGCAGAGTGCCTGAGTCTCAGGAAGGGCTGCCTGGCCATGATGCTGTCATAAACATCTTCCATCCACCAAAGATATGTAGAGGGAGCTAAGAGAATGGGCTTTGCAGTTACAAGCTGGGCAACCTTGTGTAAGTTACCTGGTCTCCGTAAGCTTCATTCTGCACATGTAAACAGAGACGATGCTGGGCACCTGAAAGGCTTGTTATAAACGAGGAGCTCATCAAGGAGTCTCATAACTATTCATTGTTATTATGAAGAAGACTGCATCTAGGGATGCAAAACGGCACAAAACCCAACAGTATCTATGTCTGATCATTTCCCCATTAGGCCCGTATGATTTATATCTGCCTCGTGTGCTTGACTCGCCCATATTCACTCACATCTTGCCCAAGGGGAGGGTAGCTGAGGTACTTTTATATCAAGGGATGGAAGGTTCAGAGAAGTTAAGGACTTTGCCCAAGGTAACACAGCTAATAAAAGAACAGAGACAGGACTGGAATTCAAGCTTCCCAGGTTCTCCCACTGTGCTCTTCCTGCTTCATTCTCCAGGAACTATGGTCCAGAGTCCTGTCTTTTTCTTTTTTGGTGCCATTTAGAGATACAGCCTTGGTTTTCTGGATACCAAGTTCTTCTCTCAGTACCAAAGCACCCCAGTCTCATGCATAAAATATCACTGATGACGCATGAATAATAGATCAGGCTCATAACGCTGTAAAACCTGTTTTTCCTTCTACAAGGAAGACCCCTTCAATTTTTTCTCAAATTGAAATGATCTCTGTGGAATCTTTTTAAATGTCCCAACAAACTATAGTGGATCCATCAGATCATTTACCTGTTGTCTGAGAGTAACTCATATTTCTTTCCCTTTGAAAATAAATCTTTTCAGTGATTTTTTTCCTTTCGGTTCTCTTATATAAGAAGTCTTTTCTGACTCTTGAAATTGATCAAGGGCAGCAGTTCCTTGGGCAGCAAAGAGTTAACATTTGCAGGTGGCTTCCTGATTCACACGGTAACAGAATCCACCTTTGCTTGCTTTGACCACTATCAAATGTCAAAGAGCATTTTGTGACTTATTTCTATAAATGACATTAAAAAAAATGAAGAACACACAGAAAACACTCCATGTAAGAGGCAATATTGCCGAACGTTATAGATACTGATTCTGGAAACAGGATTTGAATCCCAGCCCTGCCTCTTAACCATGGTGCAATCGTAGGTAAATCGCTCAGTGTTGCTAAGCCTCAGTTTCCCTATCTGTAAAAGAAAGAGATGATGCTAATATTTACTTCAAGGGCTGAGTGAGGATTAATGGGTTAATAGATTCAAAGCACTTGAACAAGGCCAGCCATACAGTAAATGTTTAGCTATTACAAGGGTCTGTAAACTACAGCCTGTGGGCCAAATCCAGCCTACTACCTGTTTTTACATGGCCAGTGAAATAAGAATAGTTTTTACATTCTAAAAAAATTTAGAAATAAATAAAAAGAATATTTTGAGACACAAGAATTATATGAAATTCAAATTTCCCTGCTCATAAATAAGAGTTCTATTGGAACACAGTTACACCCAGTCTATACATATTATCTACGCATGTTTTTCACTATATCAGCAAAGTTGAATAGCAAGGACAGCCATCCTATGGTCCACAAAAACTAAGATATTTATTATCTGACCCTTTACCGAAAAAGTTTGCTGACCCCTGAGTAGTCTAGTGTACAGGGCACCACGTCACTTTGCAACTTCAGTCACTGACTCTGCATAGCCATCCTGTGTGGTAGGTAGTAGCATCCTTGTTTCTGAACCCTTGCTTGAACTGGGTTCAGAAATGTTAAGTAACCTGGCAAGGTCACATGCAGTTAAGTGAGACATACTGGATGAGAGACCAAGGCAGGTCTCCCTGACCCAAAGCCCACAGTCTGGCCTCTCTCCCACGCTGCCTCTCTTGAGACAGGTCTCTTTCCATTTCAAAACTGATTCTATGACTTTATTTGCTTTTTATGTAAAGGCAAATTATATTTTATGAATAAACATAAATTTGTCCTTTAGAAATATATGGCTTTTTTAATATCCTAGACAACAGGATCTCTGCTTGATTTGCATGTCCTGTGTAATGAGGAGGGCTTTACACAACTGAACTTACGTTTCAGCACGGAGAAATTCATGTTTTAATTTAATAATTTAGCTGGATGGAAGTTTTTTCCCCATATAGGCAAATACTGAAAATTATAGGAAATGTAGCTTTAAAAATAATATTAATCACATTTTCTAACTATTAAGATCCTTTTAAAATAATGCTTGTCGAATAGGGATGGAAAGGACTTAAGGAAATTGCTGATTAATTACTATGAAAGTAACTATATTCAGCACAGGCAAGCTGAATCATATATACAAAGAAAATTCATGATGCCGCATGGCCAAAGCTATGACAGAATTTTTGCCAAGATCATGGCAGGTGCATTCTACTCTCAAGGAAAGCTAAACTTTGGTCTGCAAATGGGTTTGAAAAGAAATCTCAACATCTATGCTTACTTACGATGAATTACAGTTAGCACAAGGAAGAGATTTCTAATGATACAACAGGCGGCCTGAGAAGGTAGTGTATTTTCTATATTTGGAGGGTTTTAAGAAGGGGTCTAATGACCGATTACAGAGAATGCTGAAAGAATATTCAAGGATTAGATGGGGTGGGCCAGGGAGCCATACTAGCGATCATTAATAATTCTGCCAAATGCGGCAGTCTATGGGACTGGATATCTCTATTCATTCATTAGTTAATGCCTCTCCCACAGCAACCAATTCTCAATATTTCAAAAGACAGATCCTTCTTGACTTATGATGGGGGTTACGCCCTGTTAAACCCATTGTAATTTGAAAATATCTTAAGTCGAAAATTCATTTAATGCACTTAACTTACTGGACATCCTAGCTTGGCCTAGCCTCCCTTTAATACGCTCAAAACACTCAGGTTAGCCTACAGTTGGGCAAAATCATCTAACACAAAGCTTATTTTATAATAAAGTATTGACTGTCTCTTATAATGTATTGAAGACTGTACTGAAAGTAAACAACAGAAGGGTTATCTGGGTACAGAATGGTTCTAAGTGTATTAGTTGTTTACCCTCATGATCGTGTGGCTGACTGGGAGGTGCAGTGGCCACCGCTGCCCAACATCAACAGAGCATCATACCGCGTATCACTAGCCTGACCAAAGAGCAAAATGCAAAATCTGAAGCACTCTTTCTATTGAATGCGAATTGTTTTTGCACCACTGTAAAGAAATCTTAAGTCTAACCATCATAAGTTGGGGACCATCTGTAAATTCATCCAACTCAGTGCTCAAAAAAACTTTGCTGCCATTCTTTACACCCAAATGAGAGACTGGTTTTCTTACATGAAACAAACATATGTTTATCCTCTTTTATGGAAGATTTCATAAGCAGTTGCTACGCTCAAAGCCTAAGTGGGAAATATTTAGTTCACAAATCCTGTCTTTTCTCAAATCTATGAGTTTATTATTATTCTTTAATTTAACCTATCTCCTAATTTAAAAGCAAAAGAGAAGCACGAGAAGAAGGAAATAATTTGCCTTTCCTAAAGAACTCGTGTGATTTTTTATGGACTATAACAATTCTATAAACCATTTTGTTCCAGTCACCAGGAAGCTCAGAGCCAAATTTAGGGCACAAAACAACAAGTATACGGGCCACTGGCCTGGGAATGCATCTTCTATTTCCAACGCTTTGTCTTGTTTTGGTACTCCAAGTTATGTTTTTGGTCATTCTGATTTTAAATTTTATTCTATTACATGTTTCTTATAGATCAGGTGACCACATAATTGTTTAATTCAGGACACTTTGAGAATTGAAAGGAGAGCTATCAATAACTTCTCCAGGACAACAGATGTAAACTGGGACCATCCTTACAAACCAGAACATATGCTTATCTTATATGTAGGGTGTCAGTCAAAAATGGGATTAAAAAAATAAAGCATTTAAAGATAAAACATTAGGGCTCCATTCTCATGATGGTGAACCAGTTTGGACCAACAACTTTTTGGGGATATGAAATTAGAAAGGATACGCTTTCTAAAGCTTGCTCATCAAGTATAGCATGATCCCATGCACATGGCAAGGCTGCTTCTCTTTTTTAGCTTTCATGCTTTCAAGGAAAATAAAAAACCTAAAAATATAGCTTAAAGTATCCAGATGCTAAATAAATACATTTTTGAATCACATGAATACAGTGAAAACATAAGAACGACCCAGTGTTCTCAATAAAGGTATACCTTGGATTCTGAAAATGGAGATCTTCATTATAGTCTAAGGGCTCCGCAAACTGAGAAAAGCATTTTGCCAGCAATGGTGGGGCTGGGAGGGGCTGCATTCTCTGAAACTTCCTGAGAATCAGGACAGCAACCACTTCCACATTCTACATAATGAACCATTTGCTCTGCGAATTTCTCTGAACAAGCTCTTAAACTGATCTGGACCTGACCTTCCCTTTTCAGTGTCCCTTTCCCTTGTCTAATTGACTCCCCCAGTGCCATCATAACCTTGGTTTTAAGAGGCAGACTCCTTCCTTAGTTCCCAGGGACATCCCGAAGTGCAAATAACTTGGAGGAGTTTTAATGAAATGATGTCAGGGCTGACACTCAACTAGGTGGATTGTATTGTTTTAAAACCTCCCATAGCAAACAGCCAGGACAAGGACCTCTAATTGAAGTCTTTAATGATCGGTTCCTAACTTCTGAATGAGAGGATCTTTGCTTCACTTCGAAGCTCAAGATCTTTTCCTGCTG